CGTTTGTTTGAAGGTGGTTGACAATGTTTCGTGGTGTATTTCATCAGTTCGGACTTCCATTGTCTAATATAATATAAATTGATTTGGAATTCCTGAAAAAGTATTGAAAAGATCAACCGAAAAACTGAACAAAAAAATAACATAAAACCAAACAACAACCAAAAAAATTAAAATTGAAATATTAATAAAAGCTATAAATCTAGTTTCAAGAACTTCATTTATAAGAATAAGATCAAAAAAATTATCATTAAAAACATCAAAAATATCCCCTTTCGTAATGTCTGTGCACAAAGACCCCTACATACCAATTTTGAATGAAATCATGATTTCTAATGGAAAATTCTTCATATCGGACCTCACAAACCGTACCGCTTGTTTATAAAATCTGAGAATAAATCACAAATTTCTTCATCTGATTATATGAAGCAAAGTTCATTACTTTTGAAATTAACATATATTGTTATGAATTAGTTCATATGAAATAATTTAATTTCAACCCAGTAAACCATAAATGAATAAAAATCTAGTAGCTGGCCTCATTTCCATAATCATTAATAATAAATCAGATTTCGTGTAAGAACTATTTGAACAAAATTCATTTTCACCTGAAATGATTTATTTTATTAATATATATACTATCCCTCCGATTATCAACTAAACCAACCGCCACTGTTTTATGGTCCAACTTATTTCCCGTAAACAAACAAAGTTATGCTGCCTTCAATGTAAGGATGGAAAATCCCTCTCTATTGTCTTTTGTTACTCTAAGGTACCTATCAACAACATTCAATTAGAATAGTATGTCTCGAAAATGATCCTGGTGTTTTTGAAATAGTTCGGGAGTCGATGAGAAGATTGGATTCTTGCATCCGAGCGGGGAGAGTCGTTTTCAACAGTTCTTATAGATTAGGAAACATAACATGTAATTTTTGGTGATAAATTGTTATTGTCGAAATTCTTTTCCGCTCCGTATCTCCGAAACAAAGTGCCCTACCAAAATCAACAAAGGATGAAATATCCCTAGAATAGTTCATGGAATAGTCTCTTAAAGTTTGGCCGCATGTTTAATAAACATCCTGTACAAGTGATGAAAATAATTGAATTTTTCAATTTCATTTACTGATTATAAATAACAAGTGAACACTGTCGTATATATACTACATTCAAACTTCCTTGTATATGTTCGCGATAACATTCATGCATTTTCGTGTTCGCTTCACAGAAACAATTCGACGCTCACGTATGTGCCGATGGGACATTACGCAATGTTGTCTGTAAGACTTGTGCCAGTGTCGGCACTTTCGCTTGCTCGCGTTGCTAGCTTCGCCATTGGAGTATCATTGATCACCTCAAATTACTCTGTTCCTAGCAACTAGTACTCCGAGTCTACGGAAATCATNAGTAGTTATCTTTTTGTAGCAGCATCAAAAATAAGTAAAGTTGTGAATAAAAAAGAAGTCGAGTAAACTATAAAAAATGGCTGAGATGAGCCAAAAAGCGCCACACGGCAGAATCAAATTGGAAATGAAAAGATATTTTTTCCGATATATTTGCAGTATATTGATTTAATTTTTTTATATTCATTCAAATGAATTTTTCATTCAATATTGTTTCATACTATGATATCACACTATTATCCTTTAAAATATGGATATCTTATGGAAGTTCAATTCAGTAGCTTCTGACCATCTATGGACATCCATAGGACATCCGTTGGACATGAAACGGATATCCAATTCCAATTAGAATATATCCATCGTACATTATTGTTTTTAAGGGACACCTTGAACGGTTTACTTCTTTGGAATGTGTAAGTTCCTAAACCTTCACCATTCAACAAAACCATAACAAGAAATGTAAAGCATGTCGGTGGTACTGAGCTATAACTGAAAGATGAGTCTATTTGGAATATTGAAATTTCTGAAAAAAGGCAGGTGCAATTATTAGCAGGAACTTCATATAGTACCACTATCTGTATGATGGGTTTTTTCTTGACCTCTTAGTAAAAGTTTAATAAACGTTAATTATAATTAGCAACCTCCTGTGAGGAAGCAAAGTACAAAACTTCGTTATTTTTAGACAAAAAAAATATTCGAAATGAAGTGCGTCAATGGCACATCTTTTATAAGACACTTATCAATACGGCGCGCTTCTTATTTGTAAAATGGCTTTTCCTATATCATATGCACACTGTATCAGGTCAATTTTTCAAATTAGAGTCAATCAACCAATTGGAATCTCCACATGTTAACACATCATCTGAAATGTGAACGAACGCTGGTGAATATTTACGTCGTATTCGTCGCATATTATGCCTTTTCCAAATTGTTTTTGTACAAGGAGCTTAACGAAATTTTAGTTTATCCGACATATTTTCTTCTTGACATTTTTGTTACTTGTGGATAATATTGAAACTAAGGAAAAGGTTGAATATACGATGAAGAAAATAACTTTCGTCTGATTTCTACTAAGTTTTTTATTTGTTACGACCGGTTTCGGTTTGTTAAACCATTCTCAAGTAAACTCAACTAACCCATTCTCAGTTTATTTGAGAATGGTTTAATAAATCGAAACCGGTCGTAACAAATTAAGAACTTAGTAGAAATCAGAGGAAAGTTATTTTCTTCGTCATATATTCAATATGAATTTCTACAAAAAAGGTACCTATTATCGGCCCCTCAAGAGGTATATCAATTATAAATTAAATTGAAGCATGAGAAACTAATTTTTTCGGTGACGAAATATTTCCTTAGAAGTTTTTTTCAGTAAGTTATGAACAATGTTACAGGTAACAATAAGTCAATGATCAAGTTGTAAAAGGTGTCATTCGATTCGGAATATCGTGTGGATAATTACCTCAACAATAATGGATTCTACAAAATTGCATATGCAGATGACATAGTTATCTTGCAGACCGACAAATTTGTGCGATAGAGCGCAGGATGGGCTCAAATTAATAGAAACATGGAGTAAGGAACACTCACTGTCAATCAATCCCAAGAAGACTGAGATGGTCCTTTTCACCAGGAAAAGAAGTGTATCGGGCTTAAAACCTCCCGAAATCTTCAAAAGCAAACCAAACTTCTCTGAAGAGGTGAAATACCTTGGTATTATACTTGACAGGAAGCTAACATGGAACTCTCACCTAGAGTAGGTGGGGTCTTTCACCCCGTGTGGTCACCTGGATCTACACTGCAATAATAACGTACGGAGCCATTGCATGGGGACCGAAAGTTCTACAAGCAACGGCCATCCAAAAATGATATCAAATCCAGCGACTGGCTTGTTTAAACATCACAGGAGCCATGAGAACATCAACCGCGGCAATGAAATTAATTACGGGTCTGACCCCTCTGGACCTGTACGTTAAGGAGGTTGCGTTAATGGCCATGTTACGATTGCGCACGGCTGATGCGCAAGTAGGAAGTAGGAATGGATCAATTGAGGCTGAGCCTATGGCGAGAAGCGCTTACTGCGCAACCTCTGCTGCAGGCAACCAGTGACGCAATTGAACCCATGTTTGTGTTTAATAAACCCTACAAAATACAAATAAAACAGAACACATATTCAAATGCTACAAATGCAATACGCATATATACAGACGGCTCAAAAACCAAAGAAAGCTCAGGATGTGGAGTATACTCCAGATCACTAAGACTAAGGATTAGGTGGGGAATGGGAAAAAATACCAGCGTGGTCCAAACAGAACTGGCTGGTATCTCAATCGCCACAAAAAAAATAACCAGGAAAGAAATTTCTGACAAAAACATAACAATCTGCACTGACAGCAGACAAGCCCTATTAGCCTTGAACAGACAACGTGTAAAACGGTAAATAATGACATTATCCTGAAGTGGGTTAAAAGGCACTACAGGAGTAAAGGAAATCGCATTGCCGACTTTTTAGCCAAGGAAGCTGCTGGACTAAGAATTATAGGACCCAGTGGCACCCACGGTCTGATGACTTCGACAATTGCGGAACTAGTCAAATGTTACACCAATGCTCAATCCCTAAAGAGATGGGATGGAATCAATGGATGCAATCTTACCAGGATCAGCCTGGGCGACCCTGGGAAGCTGGCGCCGAAGAAATATCTGGCGATGACCAGGAAAAATCTACGCCTTACAGTAGGAT